AGAGTACCTCGCAAAACCTCGCTAAACGTGTATCAATCTTTAGAGTCGTAATGCATTCGTGTGATCAGATTTAAAAAATTTCATGAAATTTTTTTAATATAACAAAGAATATTAAGTCGAATGTAACTGCTTTATATTAATTCCAATGCTTATGTTCTTGTTTAACTTCGTCGATTTTCTGTCTACTTTTACTTTCACGGAGTTGATTAGTTTGATTTCTACGAGGCTCAATTAAAGTACCAATGGAATTTGTTGGGCAATACATATTAAATGAAACTAATGGGAAGAAGGTAAAAGGAATTTTTCTCTTTTATTCCGTTTGTCATTTTTTTCTGTCGGACTAACGTATCATTGTAAAATCACGAAAGGAACAATTCGGCTGCACAATAATTAACATAATTCGTACGGCCTCGTTTTCCATTCGTCACACACGATTATCGCGACGCGAATGCCGCAATCTCCATCGCTCGCGTCATCAGCGTCGCCGCGGAAAAAACGTACGCGCGAGAAATTCGCTCGGAGCGAAGCGTTTTGCGAAAAGCTTACCAAACGGGAACGCGAAAATAATATTTTGCGAATATCAGCGAGTTCCACGCCTTTCACCTACGTTCGTTCGTACGAAGCGAATAAAATTATCCCTTCACTCCTCGGCCGCATTGTACGCGCTATCGTTCGATGCGATCAACGAGACGATATACCATTCGATTACAATCGGCTTCCTCGCCCATCGCGAAGCGATGAACCTAAAAATCGCGCCACTGAGGATAAATCTTACGTTTCCCACGTGCGCTCTCTAATACCGCCAGTCTGCATCCATCAGCAATCCCGAACGATTCTCAGAAATTCTCAATTTATGAAAACGCGATCTTTGCGAGGAACCTGCCTATAAAAGTCAAAAACACGCTCTCACAGGCGAGATGATGATGCAAGGATTGCACTTCAATCGATTTATCGATAAAGAGAATTCATTAGAATTTGATGTTGTATTCTTTAAAATAAACGAGACATTCGTGTAAGAGAGATATTACTAAAAAGGATGTACGTTTAGATACTATTTTTTTTTCAAAATCTTAGAATTTCAGGGTAAAAAATTTTTATTTTCTAAATTCCGTGTCATTTCACGATTTTAACTCGAGAATGGAAGATAATATCTCTTTAAAGATCACTGGAAATTTTATTTAAACGTCCACTATTTCGTCAACATTGTGTTCGTCCAAGACTTTACGCAGATAAAATGTCGAAGAACGTGCCGTTCGCGCAAGACATCTAACTGTAAATCCCCTTTCTACTCACGAAGCCACCAAGCTCGTCCTTTCACCGCAAATGGATGAGACAAAAGGTATCCACACGTATGTTATGCCTTCTGTGCATGGTACAAAGTACTTTTTCCTATAATTTGACGCGCTCGAGATCCGTCCCTTCGGTCGCACGATGTATTCAATGTTTTGCAAAAGC